TAAAGCGTACAGGAAAAGTAGGTTCTCTGGTATTTTCCAATGTCAAAAGTGGCTGTATTTCACAACAATTTAAGACATATCTGTAAATGTTTAGCAGCCATGTGTTACTGAGGAAAGGGTAATGTAATACTATCTGTATGTCATTGTGAAGAACCAACAAATCCAATATAGTATGGTAGCAAAAATTCTAACCAAAAGGAAAATATAATTTTGTGAACTGCATTTCTCTCTCTCTCTCTCTTTATCCAGATTGGTAAATTTCTTAAAAACCTGAACAAACCAAATATCAGTCATCTAAATTCTTCATCAGTAGTACAGGTTACAAATGGTACGAGTGTTAAAACACCCAGGAGGAGATCTTTCATAGAGAGATAAGTCATTTCACACAGTAGATAGATTGAATTCTCGGAAAGATGGGTGATTTGACAGAAAAAAAGGATAATGGACAAGTGGATAAACAAACCGATGAGTAGAATAAACAACCTCACTGATGAGGGCACGGTATGGACGGACCACAGTGAGGTGTCTTAATTCTTTTGGGTGAAGTGTTCTTGAGCTGAGACACTTACAGAGGTTTCAAGTAACGAAGTACAAATACTTTGTTACTGTACTTAAGCACACTTTTTCGTATCTTATTTTTCTTCCTACTTCTGGCTTCTACTCATTACATTTTCACACAAGTATCTGTACTTTCTATTCCTTACATTTTCAAAACAAACGTTACTCATTACTCTTGGCTTCGGTTTAATGTTTATAAATATTTATTTTAAGTCATTGGGTTTGCTTTATATGACTCATCCAATTACACTAGTTTCACTAGATGTGGATGGCGCCAATGATCTGCATGATCATTGGCTAATCATTGGTTAGCTAAAGGAAATCATCAGAAGTATGGAGGTTTCAGAAAAATATGTTGAAATGTCTGAAAGGTTGGACACAGGTGAGAGCGTATCGGGAGACGGAGACCAACCAGACCTCCCTCATCCTTTGGCCCTATCTCAAAGAATTTTTCAAAATAGTCGAAAAAATTGAGCTTTCAATTCATATAGTGACATCTGGCTGTTTTTTTTAGGGTTACATTATAATTTTATACTTTTTGGAGCACATACGTTTTCACTTTTACTTGAGTAAAGAGGTCAAGTTGATACTTCAACTATACTTCTACTTAAGTAACAAATGTATGTACTTTTGACACCACTGGACTCACTGTAGTGTAACATCTGTACACCTTATTCACTCTGCCCTCTTCGCTTGGAGGTCAATCAGCATCCAAATCAGGCTAAACTGTGGTAGTTTCCTCATTTTTGTACTTAAAGTCTCATTAGAAGATGGACCTCAGTGTGATTGGCACTAAATAAAACCACTGATTACATGAAATATTTGTTTACATTCTTTGATGCTAATGGGCAGAATGGATCTTTTAATATGGGTTTGCAATTTTAAATGACTGAGATTCATTGTTGTCTCTCAACGTTATTACAAAGAGAGTACCAGTGTAACATGTATCAGTCACCAACTTGTAAACAAAGAAGACTCTTACTGATCCTCGGTCAGTCTTAAGCTCATTAACACTCTTCCTCCATTCATTAGACTCCAGCTTTGGTTCCGTTAGCTTTAATTTAGTTGGAGTGAACCGTTCTGTTAATTAGCTTTAATTATCTTCATTCAGATAGGAAAACAATAAATATCTTGCTATATCACAGCAACATGTAGCATAAACAAACCCCAGCACACCGACCTAAGAGGATGGACTCGTGATGTTGAAGGGAGGCTACCGTCTCCAACGGTCAGTTCCCCCCATCATCATCCTCCCTCTCCGCTCCCAGCCGCTTCAGGCCGGCGGCAGGTCGGAGCGGGTTCAGCTTCTTTCGGTGAAATTCTTTATCAACCTTCTGTTTCCAGTCTCCCGGTATTCCTTAACGGTCCGCCGTGATTTTGACGTCACAGTGCGTGGGGGGAAAAAAACGTCAACACGCTCATCCGCTGTTAGGGTTCGGGCAGTCACAGCCCTCGCGGAGGCAATGGGTCATACATGACGCCATATTGCGAGTGGCAAATGTAGTTTTTAACCAAACTAAAAACATTTATGATCACTGAAATTTACGGAAGAGGATTAGGGCCTGATTTTAAAATTTTATTTCAGTTTAATATGGGGACGGAGTCAGAATTCTGACTTTAATCTCAGATTTTTTTTCCCTCACAAATCTGACTTTATCTGAGAATCCTGACTTTAATCTCAGAATCCTGACCTTAATCCCGGAATTCTGACTTTAATCCCGGAATTCTTTTTTTCTCAGAATTCTGACTTTAATCTCAGAATTTTTTTCCTCACAAATTTGACTATAATCTCAGAATCCTGACTTTAATATAAGAATTCTGACTTTAATCTTAGAATTCTGATTTTTTTTTCCCCCTCACAAATCTTACTTTAATCTAAGAATCCTGAGTAATAAAATGAAATAAAATCTAAAAATTAGTTAACTTATACATTTTTTCACTGACATTGCATTTTTTTAAGCATCATCAAAATCAAATCCCCAAGGATGCCTTTATAATAAAAATGCATAATTGGTTATTATTACAGTGACCGTTTTACAGCAGAAGACCAAGTCAAAGCTGCAAGCTAGACAAAAGCTCCAACATAACCCATATTATACTGTAATGAAGAAAAGTTTTCTTTGTTGGTTCAAAAAACACAAAGACAAACGGATGCAGAGGATGCTTAGCCAAAGAGTTTAATAAATTCTTATTTTGAATTTAGAAACCACATTAGATTTCAAATTTGATTTCATATAAAACCAATCATAAGAGCTTTAGAGGCTATTCAAAGAAATCCAATTCACTTTATAGGTGACAAGGAAAACTGACTGTAAAATGAATTAGAATGAACCAATGAACATTTGCTTTGTTTTTACCAGCCAGAATGTACATTTATGGAAATAAACTTAAAGGAAAACATGAAACACACTTAGGCAACGGTATCTGGAAAGGCAAATGCATGCAGAGGTTTGACTAATGAATTACAGTTCAGATGTAGCTTGCTATTCATTTTTTAGGAAGCAATACATTTGTTTATAATGAGGCTGATAATGTGGGTTTTAGTGCTAAAGATGAGAACATACAGAGTATCTAACACACAGCTCAGCAATCACAATTTAATGAGAACAGAGTTTGAACTGTTTAACTCAATCTCATAGAAGGGAGAGGCAGGCAACTGCTTTAAAAACCCTTTTAAATCATTGATCCTTATGTGGTTTAATCTGCATGTGAATTTATGGAGGGAAAAAGAACCCAATGTTTTTTATTCTTAAGTTACTTTTAGTCATGTCAGTTGCAAAATGTCTGTCTGAATATAGAAATGGCAATATTGAATTATTTCCCTTCATAAAATAAAGGAAACTGCTACTTGCAAGCTTTAGGATCTAGAACACTGAAAATCTGCAACCAATGTCTTTAATGGGCGATAAAATTCTTTCTAACAGGCCGAATTCATGTGTGCAACTTCATATCCTAACATTGACGCTTTTTAAAAACTCCAATAAGCCCTGATAACTTTACATTTCCAAAAGTTAGAAACTGCCACGTGATCCACTGCCCACCTCTCCCAGAAAAATGCTCACCCAGTGTAAAACAAATTTAAAGATCTACACATGGTTAATACAGAAAAATAAGCAACAGCTGCACATAACCTATGGAGGTCCAGGAGTGTTTTCCAACACACAGAAAATCCAAAAAATAAACCCAACAAATGAATATTTCAAGTATAAAACTCTGGGAAACACTGTCCCCGATAAGCTGTTCCACCTTTGAAGTGAAATATGAGAGGCACTGCTCCCGATAAATACACACAAAACAAACAAACACACACAAACATACAGTAAATGGTAGGCAAAAACTACCGTCACTGGTCATTATGGGAGACACTGCTCCCGATAATGGAGTTTAATTATGGAAGGCACTGCTCCCGATAACATCATCAATCTGATAAGTGCTCCAACTTCGACTGTGCAACACAAATAGCTTCTCCACAAATTATATCCTAAATTTAAATGCAGTTTCTGATTATTCTGCACAGAATTATGACACTAAATCTTAGCTTTAAGTATCAGAGAAAGTTTGGAAAACCCAGTTTTAAATTTAGTGCAATATATCAAAATCATTTCTCTCCAAAATGGCATCATATCTCATGGTTTTAGAGATCTGAATCTGGAAAAACTATAAATAAATGCCAGGAAAGTGTCATTCTAGCGTTATCCGGTGATCCCATTTCATCAGCAACAGTAAGGGAGTCATTGTTGTAGCAGATGCTGCTGTGGCTTTCGACAGTATAACTGTCATAATTATGGAAGGCACTGCTTCCGATAATGCTGTATAAAAAGACAAACAATAAATATAGTGGGCACTGCCACTGATAAATATGAAAAACAAACTAAAGCATAAATAAGGTTTCAGTGCTTTGAGGCTTTGTGTGGGTGGAGTTTGATGAGAGGAGGGGATTACAGCATTTTTTATTCCCCCCCCCCCCCTCAGGTGTTCTTTTATGGTTCACAGTTTTTTTTTTTTTTTTTTTTTAGGTATTATTTCTCCCTCTTCATGTAGATCTTACCCAAATTCAGAGGAAGAAAACCAATCAAATATAAACCCTGGTTTCAGAAACGATGGGATCTCTGATGGTCAGTTTGTGCTTCAGGTATTTAAATGTGGGAGCACTATAATTAACCTTTAAGCAGCCTTATGCTCTCTCTCACACACATGCATATGGATTCCTGTATACAGCTTTAGATCTCGTCGTCGATGTCCCAGACGTTCCCCACCATGGCGTTGGCGCATCCCTGCAGGTTCCAGGTGGCCAGAGCCAGCTGGGTTTGGAGCAACTCAGGGTCTTTGGCTTCGGCGATGGACGCCAAGGTGTGGGAGCCGTGGCCGAAGATCAGGTGACGGAAGGGGGTCTCGACTACGGACACGTAGGGGGAGAGGAGGGAGTGCTCAACCTGGGGGAAGGAAGAGAAATCTAGTTCTATTAAAGATTAAAGCTGCAGGAGGAAATCTTTCTAAACTCCATTTGTTTTAAACTTGAATAACTGATTATCAAGTTTAAGATTCATTTCTGAATTAAAGCTTTGACATGAATCTAGTCAGGCTGCACATCATATAAAAAAGCACTCATCACAATCTAATAGAAATCTGCAAACTAGAATGGGAGCTTGTTTCTCACTAAGGATGCAAGTTATCGATTGACAGATCACTCTAGTAAAAAAAGATTTTAATATTTAATGAGTTTTTATTATTATAATAAATTGGCGTATTGTTGATTATCAGACTTTTTTTCTATAAATCTCAGTTTTCTCTTGTATGAAGGACATTTCCATTACATGAATTTCCAAATATTCTTTTGAAATATGCAGTTTATTGCACCAGCTGTGTTAAAGGTATAAAGGACGATCATGCTCTTCCCCAATCAGCCATCTTTTTCTGTGCATGCGCACTTTCAGGCGTATATCTGTGGTGAGCTACGGTTTCAGACAGTCATTGAAGCTCACCTTTCTCATCACGGTTCTTTGAAAATATCCGAGTATAAAGTGTATGAGAAGAAAAGAAAGGCCTCAGAAGAGGCAGATATTTGCTTTCACAGCAGCCCGCTGTCGCTACCCAACTAATAATAAAGATGTGGCAGGCATCGCGCAGTTCAGGAGGAGTTACGTGGCCGACGGGGAGCAAAAAGTTCACAGGTAAATTCCACAGTGCTAACTATGTAGTGTCAAAGTACTTCGACTCTTTTAGAGTTATTAAAACCACAACTGGAATAAGATACACACCATGTAGAGAGTTAATTTAACATCAATTCAGAGTGGGACAAAATGCTCTCTGATTGGTGTTAAATTTAACTCTTAAAGTGTTACTTTAACACTGCAAAATCTGTCCAAATGGTACGGTAAGTTAACAGAGTTTGCTATAAAATCCACTATATAGTCTATACTACACTGTATAGTGATTGTGGGATTTAGTGGTTAGGGTGGACGTACAGGCACAGCAAGCTTGTATGAGTTATGAGAAAAGCAACTTTTAAACAGAGCGTACAGGAGGAGAAATGGGCTCATGCATGCTCTCACAAGCATTTAATAGGCTTTCCTCTAGGAAGCGGGTACAGGGTTGTGCATGTATTTCTTTTATTGTTTTCTAAAGTGGAGAGGGCGGGTCTTCAGAAATTCGCAAAAATCCTCCACAATACCTTTAAATGCTGACTAACTACCGTATTTTTACGACTATAAGGGGCATATAAACGTCTTTTTTTTCCCCTCAAAATGTGCGCCGCGCCCTGTGTGTGTTGTTACTGCGGACAATTGAGACCACCATGAGAACGTTAAAGGGGGAAGTGTGGGCGTGGATTGTGTATAAAAGAATGACTAACTGGTACAATCTAAACAGCAGACACCAGGAAAATAAAAGCGAACATATTCTGTCGGCAGATTTCTGCATTTTAAGTTAATTTATGCGTCAATAAACTGTTTCAGAGGAGTGATCACAGCGCTCTCTGTCATCAGCGATGTGTCTGTCTCACGGCCAGCTCCCAGGTTT